AGCCATGAGGAGTTCGTCGTCAGGGGGAATGGGTTGCCCGTTTCTTGGAGGTTATGTGGGTTGCCGAAGAGAGATTGCCTCCATATGTCCTTCCATCTATTGGGAGGATATTTCTGTTGTGGTCCTCTTCGCCTCCAAAGCTTGAGCATGCTGGGCCAGAGTGGATCCATGGTCATGTCCAGTTTTATAGAGTGTATCACGTTCATTGGTTGGGTTTGTTTCTGGGGCGATGGAATAGTCCAGTGGCTGTTTGTCAGCCACTGGAGCGGGTGCACCGTTCCCGGCAGCTGCGTTTGTGGGGCTAGGCTGACTATTTGCAGGTAGGTCAGCCGTTCCCATGGGATGTCGTTCCCCATAAGCAGTCGGACGAGGACCTTGAAGATGAGCGCCTCACTTTCTCTCTTAGGGTCCAGGATCCCCAACCCCCTTTTAGACCTAGGCTGTGTGAGCACATCCCATTTCACCCTGTTGAGACAATATTAGGATCTGACGCTATTTTTCCACAAGTATGTTGTGAGCACTCTCTTAAGTCTTGCGTGCTGCCTTTTGTTTAGCAGCCATACTGCCAATTTGTACCAGATGGCTGCCAGGATGGCACTGTTGATGACCAGCGCACGTCCCGCCAATGAGGTGTGCAGACCCTCTCATTTGGCCAATCGATCTATTGCCACATCGACCAGCATATCGCTGTGTTCCGAGGGGGGGGGGGACCACAATCAGTGCGACACCCAAAATCCGGGTGGCTTCCTCTTTGCGGGCCCATGCCACCTTCAGTTCAAGGGGGGGGGGACTCTCCTTGGGGGTGGAGCCACCAACCCTCTGTCTTGAAACCCCAGTTGACCTTCATATCTATCGTCAGTGAGAAAAGGTGTATGACCTGGGTGAGGGCTTGAAGGTTGGACGGGTCCGCCCGTATGAGTACGGTGAGGTTGTTTACAAAGAGCGATGTCATAGGTATGAGGCGTTGGGGTATATCTGGAATGGGCACTTTGGTGATTTGAGGGTGGGCTTTGATCATGGATGTCAGGGTCTCCATGACTCTGACAAACAACAGAGGTGCAATGGGGTCCCCTTGACGAATTGATCTCTGAACTTCAAGGTGGATCAGTGGAGAAAGGTGACCATTGAGCATTATATTAGTCGTAGCCGATCGATGCAGCCGGTGCACCCATTAACAAAAAGCGGGACCAAAGTTCATCCTAGTGAAGCACATGTCGAGGAAGTCCCAGTCAACATGGTCGTACGCCTTGTCAAGTCTATGAAGAGCATCGCCGCTTGAGTTTTTCTCTGGCGTAATCGTCTCATTGACCAGGAGGATATTATCTTGGATGTTACGGTTGGGCATGAATCCTGTTTGGTACGGGTGAATGAGCATATTCATCAGAGGCAGCAATCGGTTAGTAAGAACTTTGACCACTAATTTGTAGAGAACAGGGAGAAGGGTAAAAGGTTTGTAGTTCCTTATGTTCTCCCAGTCCCTTTCTTGTAGAGGAGGGTTGTGACCGCCTGACCAATCATTGCCCCAAGGGAGCCCTTTTTTTTTTTTTTTTTTTTTTTTTTTTTTKWAAAMMWMCCCGGGSTKWTGCTRGGGGRGSTGATAARARCAGACCCCTCTAGCATTCCCAGGGAGGCTCCATCTAYTGGTGGGGAGCTTCACCTGCTGGAAAACGGGTCCAGCGTCCCATTTACATTGAAATTGTTGATTAATAAACCAGTAACGGTGTGATGATTGCTGCCTAGGAGTATCTCTGCAAGCTACTGAAGAGAGGATGTTGATTCTGGGGGAATCAAATATATGTTTTGTTTCCTTCTGTCCTTCTTTCCTCTAACCACCTGTTCTCGGCATCAACTGCCCCCGCACCTCTTCACCTTTCCTTGTGGTGYCAAATCTTACCTCTCAAGCTAGCGTTGAGGTTCTTGTGCCATAAAATTGGGCTGGGTGGGTGGGTGAGGAATAGACTCTGCTAGCCTGGGACCTTTTTTTTTTTTTTTTTTGAAAAAACTCCCCCTAGTGAATGTCCCTCATCCGAATGAGGAGGCCTGCTACCTTAGGACCCAGGAACTTTCACCTAGTGACACTCTATCATCAGATTATTTCTATTAGTGATAATTGGGAAGGTGGGAAGGGATCAGCAAAAAACATAGGATCTCTGAGTGAGGCGTCTGATTGAATTGAAAACCAATTGTGGAAAAAAAGTTGGAAATCTCTTTTAAAAAGAGATCCCGGTCTCTCCTTCCCTGGCCATTTCACTTCACCCAGGCTCCTATCCTCTTCATTGCCCAGCCAATCCTTTTCAAATTCTTTGATTAGACCAATAATATCTTTTTTCCTTTGAAGTTTATAAAATTTAGTAGCCAATTTTTCCCATTGATTTCTGATTTCTGTCTGAACGAACTGAATTATGTATTTGGTAAGTTCAGATCCTTCCAACCTAACGTTTTCTCTTTCTAACACACAGCGTCTATACCAAAGGACCCAGATGATTGCTTTTCTCCCTACTTCAAAAAAGTTCGATTGAAAGGGAGATAGGGAGATATGTTGTGGTAACAAATGCCCTAGTAGGATTGTTTTCCAATCCCATGGCCAATCTAGACCCATGTACTTTCTCCATATATAATCCCATCTTCTCCATAGTAAAGCCGACCCAGGGCATTGCATGAAAATGTGTTCTATTGTTTCCCTGCATTTTTTACTAGGAAAATTTGTTACACAAGATTTGCACCAAGGGAGAGCTAGACCCTTTTGTTCTAATGAAGTTCGGTCTATAATCCAATCATTGGTGGGTAGGCATCGGTGTGCTATTTGCCATTGGAGAGACGTGAATTTTGCTGGCCTCTGTTTAATTTTATTGAAAAATTTAATTCTTTTGATCGAATTTATGTCCTGATTCAGATGCGTAGCCCATCTTGTATCGCCTTTATATATTCTATGATTTCGTCGCGGAGAAAGTCCAAAAACTGAATCCAGAATTCTTTGGGGAAGGAGTCGATTCTTGGAGTCTTCTCATTTTCCATTCCTTTCAGGGCCTCCCATACCTCCTCATGATTTATGGGTTTGTCCAAATCGTCTATTTCATTGTTTATCAGGTGAGGATGGATGGTCCAGAACAACATTTCTCTCGCATGGTGGGCCTCATCTGGGTGCTTGTTAGGCATTTCAGATGTAAAGAGATATGTGTAATATTTGGCCGCATAGTCCACAATTTTGTATGCACTAGTTGTCGGCGGGGCGTTATTGTCGAGTGGATGGTTGAGCCTAGGAACAGTGGATGCCCTCAACCTTGCTCTTGCCTTGTTAAAAAAGGCCTTTCCCATTGTTCCATCTGACAATGTGTGTTCTTTCTTGATTTTGGCCTGCATTCTCCATATTTGCACCTTACGTTACCGAGCGTACACGTACGAGTAATATATGTACGGGAACCTGTATGTCTTGTACGCCCCCGTAAAAAAAAAAGAAAAAAGAAAAAAAAAGTGATTAAAAAAATCCAAGAAACAACTATGTGCTGCAACAGCACAACACAAGCAACATTTGGTTGAGCATCATCTTCAGATTTTTATTATAATTTGTGATAAAAAATAAAAACTATAAAAATAATTAAAAAAAGTTTTACGGGCCCTAGCGCACGAGTAGCATACGAGTAAGGAGTATGACTCGTACTCGTACGAGGGTGAGTACAAGTCGCAACGTAGTCTGCGCCTGTTGGTCAAGATATGCCTGAAGATGGTCGCGGGCTTCCTATGGTTTGTCGTAGGAGGGGCGACGCAGGGGGTCGTTCATCAACTCATCATCGCATTTTTCGAGGTCCCTCTGAGTCATGAGACTCTCCATGCAGGCTTTTCGGTCTCTGGCATGCTGAATGGAGAATTTTTTGACTCTCTCCCTTAGTTGGGCCAGACCCTTGTTGAACCATTTTGCCCTCTCGCCTGATTCAGGTTTCTGGGTTTGTCAGAACTTTCAAAAGTCTTTAATGAGGTCTCTGAATTTAGAGAGCGGGAGCAAAGAGGCACTGAGTGTGTACAAGTCGGACCCTCGTTGGATATGATTACGAAATGAGAGTCCCTGTTATATCATCATGTGGTCGAAGGACTTGCACGGGCTGATCGTTGTAATTTTGGCCGTGGTGACGAGACCCATCAAGTCTTTGTAAACCATTGTAAGATTTATTTGCGAATTGGCCCGGCCCTGCTCACCCCTGGATGACAGCATTGACAGGCAAGTGTAGTTTTTTTGGGCAGGGTGCAGCAATCAGTAAGTGTCCTCGAGCTGCCTGTCAGGCTGTCTGCCATAAACTGTTTGAGGATGAGGACGTCCGGGCCAAAGGAGAGTGCTGAAAGGTTTGTCAGATCACGACATCAGGATGTGGATCGGCGGTCTAGTGCAGGGTCGAGCGCGATATTGAAGTCACCCGTGAGTATGATGGGGGCATCGTCCAACAATTGTTGGTGAAGGGACAACCAAATATCTACCTTGGATGAGGGGTTGTAAGGCGCATACACGCTGACCAGGTAGAACTCATCTTCATCATACGACAGTTTCAGGGATACTCATCTGCCATGCAGTTTGTCGCAATTGACAGCGAGCGGTTTGAGTTTCGAAGATAGAGGTAGCCAAATGGCTACACCCACCGATGCTCTTTCTTTTGTTAAGATGGCTTTCGCTTTTGTTGTGCGCGCAAGTGTGTCCTGCAGGTGTGTTTCTTGGATACAAATTGCATCATCCCACGATCTGTCATACGGGTCTCTGAGCATATCCCAGATAGCATTCTTTTTCTCCGATGTGGCCTATATGAGCCCATTGACATTCAATGAGCGAGTGTCTATGTCTGCACGAGCCAATTTTTCTGCCCAGTGGGGCTGCCTCCTGATCGGAGGGAAGACGAGGAGGAGGGGGGCATTGGAGAAGTCAAGGGGGCTGGGGGGGCAGGGGGGTTTGTGGAGGGGTTGCGAGTCCAGGCCGATGTTGTTGTGCGGGTGGGTCATCGTGGGTGAGGGGCAAGTGGGCGGATGTCGTTCTTTGCCTGAGGTTCGTGCCAGTGGAAGGGTTGTGGAGAGAGTGTCTGGTGTTGGTCCATATCGCAGTATTTTCTCTCAGGAGAATGGGCAGGTCTGGAAGGTCGCAGGACCACCTTTTGTTTGTGGTACATCAGGCTGCTCCGGGTTTGGATTTATGTGTACTTGTGTTTGTATCAACATGACTGTTTATATAAGTCCGTCCTTAGCTGCCTACAACCGATTCAGTCTAAGTTCTTTATTGGAAGCAGAAATGGAGGGTCATCCCAACAGTTGTGTTCTTCTAACACATTGTCCTCCATGAAGATCTACATGAGTAGAAGCACCCGGCGTGGCGTTCATGCGAAGTTAGTTCTGAAGTGGTATGTGGACAAGTTCATGAGCTCATGGTAGGTGAACCAAGTGTAGGTGGACTGTGTGTTTTGGGACTTGGCATTCGGCTTCATCATCTATACTACTGGAATAACGTCTTCCGGGAAAGATAGCGAATGTGGCATCACAACCCCTAGAACCCCTTCCGCTTGTGTCTCACAGCGCCGGTATTTAAGTCGTTTGAGGATCACGAGCATCGGGCATGGAAGGGTTGCCCCTCCATTCTTCCACGGTGAGGCCCATCGGATCCGGGGGGGGGTCTAAGCCCCAACATCCAATGACCTCCTTCCCTCTGTTTGGCCAAGGGGAAGATTATGATGCCATGTCGTACCTGCACTGAGAAATCATCATCATCTTGGAGTCTGACCCGGTCCCTCAGTTTCCCGGGGGGGTGATCATCTGACGTCTCATCATCTGAGCGCAGTGCTGCGCTGTCGTCATTGTCATGTAGTATTTCAATTTTGCGAGGACGACGACTCCGGTACTCGGGTACCACGCCGGTGGTTGTGGCTACTGTGTGAGCGGTCCATTCTTCCGAGTGTCGTGACTCCCCCTCCCATGTGAGGCTCTGGCTTTGGTTTTCTTGTGATTGGATGGGCACAACAGCGCTGGCCGGACCATGCAAGGTGGTGCAGAGTTCAACGTCCAGGAGCTTAGGCCATGTCAGTCCCTCGTAGAGGAAGGCGTCGTCGTGGGGGGACGGGTGGTCCACGCTTTGTGTTGGCTGCTGCAGGTTGAATTGGTTATTTGCGTACTGCTCAATTTTGTCCAGGAAGTTATTAACCACCAGAGCTATCGCCGCCCCGACTTCCATCCAGTCAATCAAAGATATATCCCCATAGTTTTCCACAGTGGCTAACACTCGTGGCCTGAACATCAGCACTTCTTTAGCTTGCACCTTGTGTGTGGAATTGAGTCCTTCCTGTAACCAGTCCGGTGCATGGAGAAGATTTTAGTGAGGGTCCATTCGGTCAAAAAGGCAAGTTTTTGTTCAACTTCCTCATTGGTCGTTAGTGGGGGGAGAGGGGGGGGGTGCTATGGTGCAGGGGTGGGGCCGGGGCATGGGTCATTTCAATGTCGTTTACTATGGGGACCGGGGCCTGGTCCTGCCTATCCAGGAAGGGCTCGTCCAGGGCCGTAGTGTCCATATCTTGCGTCGCCTGAGCTCCTTCAATTGTCGGGAGCGCGCCACAACATGGTGATGGGCATTCAATGCAAGGTTGTGCTGTTGTTGCTGCCTCTCTAGCTCCTGGTGCCAAAACTTCTCAAGTTGTTGTTGGTGTTGTTGTTGCAGGATGACCTGTTGTTGGTAGCACAGTTGTTGTTGCCACTGCAGATGGAGGTGTTGTAAGATTTGTTGATGCTGCAGCACTCTCTCCTGGTGTTGCCGATGGTGGAATTCTGCCAATTGCGCATGCAGAAGGAGGCGGAGTTGGCCCTCGCACTCACTATGTTGCTGCGCTTGCTGCTGCAATTGGGAAGGCCCCCCCTTTGGATCAGCGACCGGAGTTGGCCCTCACACTCGCTGTGTTCCTGCGCTTGCTGCTGCAATTGGCAAGCCCCCCCCTTTGGATCAGCAACAGGAGCGGCTCCGGTTGCTGTTGCTGTTCCAGTTGTTTCAGCTGTTGTTGCTCTGCTTGTGCTTGGACCCGCTGCTCTTGCTGGTGAAGCCACGAATGGTGCGGTAGGAGCTGCTGTTGAGCCGGTGCAGGCAACAGCGGGTGGTGCCGTGTCTGTGGCTGCAATTGCGGGTGTTGTTGTTGTTACATCGTTTGCAGTTGCGCCACTTGCTGTTGCCATTGGTGGTGCTCTTGTTGCTGTTGTTGAGGCGTTAAGCGTTGTTGCTGTTGTTGTTGGGTATCTGGGTGATGCTGTTGCTCAGACCATTGTTCTTGTTGTTGGTGATGCTCAACGGGCGTGTGGCACTGCTGTGGCTTCAACATTTGTGCGTCATGAGCTTGCTGCTGCTGCTCCAGTGCATGCACCTCTTGGTCGAGTTGATGGTGCATTTGCATATGTGCCACATAAGCTTGTTGTAACTTCTCATCTGGGTGTTGTTGCAGCGTCGGTTGCAACTTCTGGTTATGCTTCTCCTGCCACTGGGCTAGCATCTGCTTTTGCAGTTGTATTTGGAATTGAGCTTCATGGTTTTGCTTTTGCAGATATGCCTTGTCATGGTGTTGTTGTGTTTGCAGCTGCAGTTGCGCTTCGAGGTGTTGTTGCGTTTGCAGTTGAGTGTAGTTGTTTTGCTGATGCTGCATTTGTGGGCATTTTTGTTCTTGCAGTTGTGCTTCGTGGTGTTGCCCTTGCAGGTGTGCTTCGACGAGGTGTTGCTGCAATTGCTGTTGTGTGTCGACGTCTTGGTGATGCTGTTGCAGTGCCTGCATCTGTCGAGCAGGTTGCGGTTCACAGTCCTGCTCCAAGCGGCACTGGGCCTGTCTCTGAAGTTGGTGTCTGGACTCGTGCTGCTGGATTGGGGTGGCCAGGAGGAGGTGTTGCTGGCCAATCGGCGGTTGAGATTGTTCATTGGTTGAACCAGTGACCATGGTGTCGTCCACGTGTTCAAACTTCCTCAGGCGTGTTCGCACCGGGTCCTGAGGTCTCTGAGGTGGTAGGTACTTAATTTCCCTTGTGACGACCGAGATAACAGTTGTAGTGTGTTCGGCCCTGATGGCAGGTTTGTCGGGGGGGGGCAGTTGTTGGTTGTGAGGCTGCTGCAGCAGTTTCGCAGAGCCAGCTTGTGTTTGCCCGGGAGGTATCAGCATCGACTCCCTGTCCCCAACCTGCGTCAGTGTGTCTCCCGATTGTAGGTCATGCTGCCTATCGCCTTGTGATTCCAGGTGTTGGGAGAAGGCCACATCTTTGATTTTGGTCAACAGGGAGTTGGCTCTGAGCCACATTCCTTTGGGATTAAGCCTTTTCCCAACACTTTCACCAGTCGGTGTGCAGGCTCCCCGTAGGAGGAGCTGCTTAGAAGGTTCATAAGGTTTGACATCCTCATGCTCTTTAGGCTCGTGAGATACCTCACACTTGCCATCGTCTTTGTCTCCCAGAGGGATCCGTCTCACTGATTGTGGCAGGCCTATTGCAGCAGATTGTGGGTGCATCACTAGGGGGGGAGGGTGTTGTTCCTGGTGGATGAGTACTTCCACTTCTGTTATCGATACGTTTTCATCGGGCGAGCATTGTTGCCCCTTTGGGGGGTAGGCAGTGAGCTATTTTATTGCAGTCTCGGGCTTTCTGGGTTTTGTGGTAGCGGTTGTTGCAAATGCGCACATTTCTGTGGTTCCGCGACAGAGAGCTCACCCGAAGCGTCGAAGATAATAGTGGAGCCCGACTGCATGTCTTGCTTGTCTTGTGGCTTCTGCTGGCCTAGTGTCATTGATCGGTGTTGCTGCAGCCTGCAGGCCTTCTGTCTTGTCTATCTTGCCCACTTCACTGCCCGTGTCCGATTGTTGTCGTTTCCCTTGGGGCGTATGTTCTCTTATGGCACCTTATGTGGCTTTCGTTCCAGACTTCGTGGGTCCGAGCTCCTGCTGCCGCTGGGACGAGGGAGCCGGGGTCGGGGGCCATTGTTTGGATTTGAGAGCTCCCTCCGGAGGCAGATGGTTGCATATACATTCCATGTTATTTCCTCGTCCATCCTCTCCCAAGGGCGCATTGGCACTTTTGGTCAGATCCGGCCGCTGAGGCAGTGGATTCTGATTTCGTCCCTCCTCATTTGTCTGTGTCTTGCCCACCCTATTTGCTTGCTTCTTGTCCAACCCGTGGTTATCTATCGTTTGTGATTGTTTTTGTATCGGGCTTTCTGCCTTTTCTGATGCCTGCAGTTGTGTGTGCGCCTCCTTCTGTGGTTGTGCAGCAGCGTGGTTGGCAGATGCGTCGGCGGTCGCAATTGGACTCCGAGTATCTTGAGATGGACCCGGGTACTCAGCCTGTGCATTCTGCTGCCCCGGCTTGTTGGGTGTTGTCAGAATGTTATGCTTTTGTGTCTCTTCTCACTGTTGCTGCTTTTTCGATCTAGGCATGTACATTTGGTGGGGAGGAGAAGGGCGGGCTTGGCAGGTGGCAGTAACGCGACTCAAGTTACGCCCTGCTCTTTCTGGCTGTTTCCATACCTACTTTCTCCAGGATTCTGTTTCTCGGCCCTGCCACTAGCACGCTGTTGTGGGCGGCACGGAGGCTGGGAGCAACTGTGTTCGTCCTGGTGGGGATCTGGGGAGTTCCCCCTTCGACCTTTTTGTTTGCCGTCTCCCGTCTCCAATGACTATCAAATCGGCTCCTAATGGCAAAGTCATCGGGTCGCCCTACCCTTGCCATATCCACTTCCTGGGGCAGCCGTCGGCATAGGCTCTGAACACCCAGCCCCACAGTTCCTATTCCTCCGGATACCACGTCTCCTCGTTTCTGTGGTGAGGGGTGACGAGTCCTTTGATTTTCCGCTTGTGGCCATTTTTTTGGGCAGGATTCATCGGTACACAGGTGCCCTCTCTGTTTGCAAGCGTAGCACCACGGATCTTGGGAGTGGCTGCCCAGGACCGAGAACTCTTTGCATCCGAGAGAGTACCTTCACTCTTCGTTGAGGGGGAAGGGGTATTGTGGATCCCAATCCACAGCAACTTACAGTGAGTCATCTCTCTTTCCGAGGAATCGGGGCAAGTCGATGATATAGCCTTTGACATGGGCGATGTCTTCCAAATGGGCGAGGATGGCTCCTTGGACACAAAGAGGTGCAAATCGGAATTCAACCCAAAAAATGGATTTCATTAGGTAATCCCTTTTCTCATCAGTTAACTGCGGGTCAGCCGGGGACGAGGGTGTGAGTTGGACCTGCCACCCTCTAAATTGTTGCTGTCTGTTTCTCAGGAGCAATTGTTTATCTGTCGAGTAGAGGGCGACTACTGCCACATCGTCCGGGTTGTCCACCTCCACTAGAAAGTGGTCATGCACAAGTTGACGATCTGGTTTTATCATCCAGAGCTTCTCAGTGATCCATTTGATTATCTCGTTGACTGGGATTGCTGATTGTACAGGCTGGAATCGGTATTGCACCGCCTTTTGAGCATAGATCGCATCTCGTGTAGCCGTGTCACGGGGCAAGAAAACAAAGTGTGGATATATGTAGCTTTCTCTTACTTGGAACTTCCTTTCCGGTTTTACATAGAGTTGCAATATCAGGTGGCTCTTGAGTGGAGCCATGGAGGCAAGATCAAATGATCTATGCGGGTCGGTCCTTCTAGGTGCTAAGAGGGCGGTGATCAGTTGTGGTGGTGGTCTGTTTGCACCATCTGAAGAGGAGGGGGAAGGGGCAGGGTCTCCCTCCGGTGGTGCCACTTTGTCCCTCCACGCGGTAGATGTCTGCCCTTGTTTCCCTTTGTTAGTAGAAGTGCAGGGAGAATTAATGGTTTCCAGGACCTTCTACGGTGTCGCGACTGTGTGCCCCAACCCCTTGGGCGACCCTCCAGTTGTAGCCTGTTTGGTTGGACTAGGAGTGGAGGCAGGGGCTACCATTTTGTCTCTCTGTGCACTGGCAGAGGGCGATTGGCTTTGTTTTGTTTTGTCTTCATGTTCACTGGACGGGTTATTGGTCAGTCCAATCAGGTCGACGACACTCGTCATTTTCCTGATGACACTCGCCATTTTCTTGGCGTTGTCGGATCGATCTTTCTAGATGGTTGTAAAAGGCCTGCCTTTCGGCCCTTCAGTTGTTCCTTGATTAAGGACACGTGTCATTAGTGCTGGCAGAGGGGTGTCGTTGGCGATTGCCGTTTTCCAGGATTGTTAGTCACTTGCTCCCCGTCTCTCACGGGAAGTTGCATGAGAAGAAGGCTAAGGGTTGTTCTCCACTGCCGATTCTTCAAGGAATTCCTTGAATAATTGCGGACTCCACTGGCGTTTTTACTTCTTTTTTTTCTTTCGGGGATTCTGCCTAAGGGTAGAACCCCACATGATGGCGGCCAACGGTTTAAATTCGGAAGTCGCAACTTCCGGCCGACTGCCCACCGCCAACAGAAATGAAAAACAAAGGGGACCCCATCGCTGCGAAATGTTGTTTTGGAGTCAGCACCGGTTACCCAAAAAGGAAATTTCGGGGCGTATTTCCTTTTTGGGAAAGCACGGGACTGCTAAGGGCATTCCAGGTCCATTGCTCATAGTCGTAATGGAAGGGCGACTGTGGACAGTGGGCGACCGTGCGGCATTTCCTGTGCGGCAGGGATATGGAGGCGGGCGACATACCTTCCCCGGTCCTAGGTTCCAAGCCGTTGGGTCGTACGTTATGATTCGAGCAGTCGTCCACTGCTTCACTATCACACAGGCGCAGAGTTGCTAACGCCATGCCCGTTCCCTTTGAAGCTTCTGAGTGCTTCGTTGTGGACACCGCATACGTGGATGCCCTGCGCGCCCCTGTGAGCATTCACCAGACGAAGCACATGACTGATTGGACCCCACTCACTGACATCGGTGGGGGTGACATTGGTGTCAGAAGACAACGTTTTTTGAAGCGCAAGGTGTTGTTCCTCCTGTTCTTGCATGTGGTATCCGCTCACAAATGGACAGCGGAGGAGCACATGAGCGCCAATGTAATGGAGGAGAGGAAAACGATGATGACGTGATGTTCATGACCATCATGACGATTATGCCTCTCTATTTCCATCGCAGTTCAATTTCCATATACATGTTGGCGATGACAAAGCTACACAACGACTATCACTGTCTGTCTGTCTGTCTGTCTGTCTGTCTGTCT